CGTTTGCAGCCAGAGTTTGCAAGGTTGGATCTCTCTCTCTCTCTCTCTCTCTCTGTCTCTCCCCTCTCTCTGTCTCTCCCTTTTCTCTCTCTGTCTGTTTCTCTCTCTGTCTGTCTCTCTATCTGTTTCTCTACCTCTATGTCTCTTTCTCTCCCTCTCTCTCTTTCTCTCTCTCTGTCTCTCTCTCTCTCTCTGTCTCTCTCTCTCTTTCTTTCTCTCTTTCTCTCTGTCTCTCTCTCTCTGTCTGTCTCTCTATCTGTTTCTCTACCTCTATGTCTCTTTCTCTCCCTCTGTCTCTCTCTCTCTCTCTGTCTCTCTCTCTCTCTCTGTCTCTCTCTCTCTTTCTTTCTCTCTTTCTCTCTGTCTCTCTCTCTCTGTCTGTCTCTCTCTTTCTTTCTCTCTCCCTGTTTTCTCTCTGTCTCTCTATCTCTGTCTCCCTCTTTTCTCTCTCTCTTTCTCTTTCTCTCTGTTTCTCTCTATCTGTTTCTCTATCTCTATGTCTCTTTCTCTCTCTCTTTCTCTCTCTCTGTCTCTCTCTTTCTTTCTTTCTCTCTTTCTCTCTGCCTCTCTCTGTCTGTCTGTCTCTCTCTCTCTTTCTCTCTCCCTGTTTTCTCTCTGTCTCTCTCTATCTCTCTCTCTTTTCTCTCTCTCTTTCTCTCTTTCTCTCTGTTTCTATCTCTGTCTCTCTATCTCTGTCTCTCTCTTTTCTCTCTCTCTGTTTCTCTGTCTCTCTCTCCTTCTCTGTTTCTCTCTCTCTGTTTCTCTCTCTGTTTCTCTCTCTCTCTCTGTCTCTCTGTCTGTCTATCTGTTTCTCTATCTCTCTGTCTCTGTCTCTCTGTCTCTGTCTCTGTCTCTCTCTCTCTCTCCCATTCCGCCAATCCCGGGTGGGGCGTGGGAGTGGCGGGAAGGGGGCGACCACGACGGCGGCTCCAAGGGGACTGAGGATTTGGGGCTCGCGCGGGCGGTTGCCTAGGAATTTAGGAAGGGAGTTTGGTATTTTTCTCTTCGCCCTTCCCGCCTTTGTCATGCGAGGTGCCGGGATAATGGGCGGGGGGGGGTGTTGGGGGGGCAGTAGAGATTAACTTATAAGGTTTTCTCCTTTCTTTCTTCTCCATCCTCTGCTCCCCCCCCCCTTTTCGCTTGGTGCTCCCCAAACCGCCGGGAAGTAAGTACATAGTTAATCATTTCATTGAGTCCGATAATGAAGAAGACTCTGTTCTTCCCGCCCCCCCCCCGCCTCCTATTTGTAGGACAACATTGGAAGTGTGTTGGGGGGCGGGGAAGGGGGACAAGGCGTGCTGAGAAAGCCCCACGGGGTTCCTTGCCTCTCCCGCGGTGGACTTCTTGGAAAGAAGAGGAAAGAAATAAAAAAAGTTAGGAATGTAGAAAGAGGAAAATATCTCACCCCTGCTCTCACCCCGCTATCCCGTCCCGCCCCAGGTAAAAGAAGATGAAATAAAAAACGTGACCAACTCTATATCAAAGGCCTTTGTTTGCCTACTGCGGGGGGGGGGGAGGGGACGTGATCTGGATTTAGAAATCCTTTCTCTTTCTTTTAAATAAGAGCCACTGGTAAATTGGAAGAAATTGGCAATGATCCTTCTTAAATAATGACTGCCCCCCCTCCCACCCCCGTTGTTGGGGGCGATTTTCAGATGAAGTCGGAACAAAGGAAAAAGGAAAAAAAGAAAAAGTAGAAAGGTGAGAGGAAGGAAGTTGAAGAGAGAAACGAATGAAGAAGGGATGGATAGAGGGAGGAGAAAGTTGGAGAGAGAAACGAATGAAGAAGGGATAGCTAGAGGAAGGGAGGGAGGGAGGATGGAGAAAGTTGGAGAGAGAAAAGAAGGAAGAAAGGATGGATAGAGGAAGGAAGGAAAACAGGGGAAGGAGGAGGGGAAAAGGAAGGAGAAAGGAAAGAAGGAAGGAGATGGAGGAAAGGAAAAGAACAGAAAGGAAAAAGAAAGGTAGACAGTTGAAAGGAAGAAAGGGGAAAGAAAGGAAGGAGATCAATGGATCAAGATGGGAAGAGAAATTTTGAAAAGGGAGAGGGGAAGAGAGAAACAAAAGAAGCACAAAAGGGGCATAAAAGAAAAGGGGACAGATGGGGGGGAGGAAAGGGAAGAGGAAGAAAGGAAAGGAAAAGAGGAAAGGAAGGAGAAAAGAAGGGAGAAAGGAAAAGAAAGGCAAAAGGCAAGGGAAGGATTGGGACTCCCCCCCCCCCCAGACTTTGGTACAGGTGGAATAAGAAGGGAAGGCCCAAAGGCACCCACCCCCTCCCACTTAGGGAGGGGGGGCTGTCCGTGATGGGAGCATAATGACTCTTTCTGGACCCAACAAGCGCAACCAATTGGTTGGAAACAAAAGACTGCTGGAGGGGGGAGCGGGCGGGCGGGGTATATGCAAACTTATACCCAAGAGAGTGAGGGGCGGCATGCAACAACCCAGCGACCACCGAGCCCCCCCCCCCGCAGTCTTTTGTACTTAGGCCAAACCACTTTGGAGTCTGTTCTGTAGGCAGGGGACTCCCCTTCCGCTCCCT